AGACGGGGTTTCCTCTCCCAAGAAACCAGGTTGTATGAGGGTTGAGCTTAAGAAGTTGGAATAGCCATCTGAGCTGTACAACTTCATGGTAAAATCAGCCTGGGACATCCAGAAATGGCTTGCACCGGAGGATATCTTTGGAAGCTCCATACCAGATATATGTACTCCATCACCATGATTTCCTTCTTCGCTTTATAACCTATTTTAACTTATAAGATCGAGGTTATTTTTGACGGAGAATACAATGGTTATAGTCAGCTACGTGTACCTTAAATTTTACTTGAAAAACAAACAAAAATATAAGAATATTTGGTTCAATAATATGCGTGTAAACCGCTACTCTAATAAGGGAAATGTTTGGGTAATCAATTACTTTTTGGAAAAGTTTCTTTTTTCAGTCTTTTGCCTTATTTAGATGAAAAGTGGTCAGAAACTATCATTTGTAAAAAAAAATCATGACCTCAATAGCAATAAACTTGAACATCTACGCGGCTTTCTCGGAACATTTGTATGGGAAATATATATCTATGTAAAGACATTTTCTAGTCAACTATTTGTAATCAAAGGCTTCTTTCTAAGTAAAACCAAAGCATAAATTCAGATAGAAATGATCAACATTGTTTTCGCAGAAGGTGAAAAAAGAATTATAAACCCAATCAGACTCCCGAGAGAGAGTACGGCTATATTGAAAAAATTTTTTTTAACTTTTAAAAGAACAACATTGACCATTTCATTTACAACCATGTTCGGACTCTTAGTTGAGAGAAATTTCAATTAAAAATGTTTAATCAGAAAGTAGACAACCATTCATTTATATTGTGTCCGTAGGTATTGCGAGAAAATCACCTTGCTATTCAACTTTTTTGTTATTGACGTTATAGTTTTCTGTATTTTGTGAATGACAGCTTCTAACTACTTTTGAACTCTAACACGGGAAAAAAAATTCTATAAAAACCTGAGAAAAGTCGTTGACTGCTCATGAATGTCTAATTATAATGACATATTATGTCGGCGGTTTTTGGTTGTTCAATCTTAGTTGTGGTTCATCGATGTATTAATATTATTTCTGGCAGTGTATAGTATTTGAAACATGGATTATATGAAATACAACCTAGGTAACTCGGTTTATATCACGCAAATATAATCCTCCGTATTCTACGATAACTAGATATTTTTGTTTACTAATGCTGTTAGTTTTATCATATGTTTTATAATAGCTTTCTTCTCAAGCCCGCTACAACATGCTTCTGTGAGTTGTAGATGTTATTTCATCGTGTTAATATTGAGGCTGCCTTTTTTTTGATACTTTATGAAAAAAGTGATCCACTACTTGAGTAAGCGCGATAAAGTTTGAAAGCGGTTTTCAAAGTATAGACAAAACTGGTGTCATAAAATCTCTACTCTTCTGTGTTGTCGTTGATGATTTCTGCGATCAGTTGTTGTTTAACGGTCACACCATGTTTCTCACTTAGCTTACGCAGCCGATATTTAATCTGATTTTTTGTAGGATGCTCGTGTATTTGAAAAAATTTGATTCCATTGGTGTCTCTTTTCTTTCGTATCAGTTCTTGAACGTTTTCGGGCGTAATTCCTGAGTTTGTTTTTATTGAGTCATGCCAGATTTGTTCTAAAAAACTTTTCATTCTTTCGCTCATTGGATTTCCAAGTTTGCGGGTTCTTAATGCCCAGGTGCAGGACGAGAAAGGCTCATAATGAGCAGATAGTGATATATCAATAGAAGAAATGTCTTGGTGTTGAAGAATTATTCTCGTTTCAACAGTTGATTGCATCGATGTCGATTTTAGAATATTGGTAAGATGAGCTCGAGCAATATTATTTGCTGTTCGAGAGCTTTCGTTTGGAATGTTGTGTTGGTTGGCTGTAATATGTGCGTCGAGTTCGATGCTTAATTCGAACGTTGCGATACATCCAGCTATAGGGCATATGGATAAGTCATAATACTTGCGATCAGCTCTCCTGTTTATTAAAAAAGTAAGGTCAATATTTAGAGCTGAAATTTCATACTTTTTCGGTATTGCCCCTGAAGATTGATCATTGATCGACACTATGAAGGGACTTGTCACTCTCATATTGGTCTCAATATTTAATTTTTTGTAAGGAACTGATAGACCAGAACCAATACTGGAAGCCTTGAAAACTTTCATGGTTCCTCCTTCGTACTGGATCGATTGTACGGATGAGATGTTTGGAACATTAGTTTTGTCCACGTAGCCTTAAAACAAACCAAATAAGAGACAAATTAACTTTGAATTAATGATGCGCATACCTTCACCGGGTATAACCTCTGCTACGGCCACTTTTGTGTACTTGATCTCCCCAGCATGTTTCATTCCTTCTTTTATGTCATGTGCAATTAGTAAATTATTTCCTGTAGCTATCCATGGACGCATTCGACTCTTAGCCACTCCACGAATTCGAGCACATATATCTTTACCTTTTTGCACCTCGCTATAGTCCCGAGTCAACAAATCGAAACCAAGTTATACGATACAACATGTTAGTTATGTCGAAGTCAATACTGTAGCAGAAACTTACTCTCTCACAAATCACTTTTTCAGCTTCAGGTGTTGCATGTGATGAAAAATTGCTTGTATTATCAGTTCGTTTATGAAGTCTTTTTACACAGATTGATTACGTTATTTTTAATAGTTTTGTGTAGTTTGCTATATTTTTGTAAAACATTGGAGGTTTCTTATTTTGATACAGTTGGATAGAGCATCCACTACACTATCGAACCATATAGTTTACATTTTCTTTCCTTTAGTTCTTCTCCAAAAAAATTGATAAACCTCGAAAAGCAGTAAAAAAAACTTTTGCACGCACCATGGATGGGCAGGATAAATGGCTGCGTTTTGTGTTTTATTTTTGCCTCATCTAAAACGTTTTATTAGAAAGCAAAATACACCAGAAGATGCTGCGTGAAAAGCTCTTCAATTTACAAGGTAATGTTTATTTTAATTGTACACTTTTTGTTTTCAAACAAGGAAAATTCCGTGCGACCAATTTTCGCCGGTACAAAAAAATAATTTTTTTCTGCTGTCGTTTTCTAATTTCATATTTTTATCACCTGATATGTCTTCGTAAAAAAAAAGCAAACTATACGAGAAGATACAGCGTGAAATGCTCTACAACTTACACGATAAAGCTTATTGTAATTGTTCAAAAAAATATTCAGAAATGCTTTGGAACCAATTTTCCTCCTTTTTTGTCTAGATCGAAAACAAAATTTAAAACTATAAAACAAGTGGTCTTGCGTAAATTGTAGAGCTTTTCACGCTGCATCTTCTGGTGTATTTTGTTTTCTAATGAAATGTATTAGATGATACAAAAGAATGCAAAACACAGTCATTTATCCTGCCCATCCATGGTGCGTGCAAAAGTTTTTTTTACTGCTTTTCGAGGTTTATCAATTTTTTTGGAGAAGAACTAAAGGAAAGAAAATGTAAACTATATGGTTCGATAGTGTAGTGGATGCTCTATCCAACTGTATCAAAATAAGAAACCTCCAATGTTTTACAAAAATATAGCAAACTACACAAAACTATTAAAAATAACGTAATCAACCTGTATGTGGATAATCAAACTTGAACTGTTTCAAAACAGCTTCCCCAGCACTTAGCGTATCGATTTCTGTTTGAGAAGCGTTTGTTAATGCAAGAATATATGAAGTAGTAGAGAAGACGAGTTTCCATGAATTATTGGGAGTTGCAGCAGTATCGATGATAATTGATGCTGTTCTCTCTTTCCAAACAAATGAACCAACAAAAACCAACATGCCTTTTTTTCCAAAATACTTTCTTTGAGGTTCACGATACTCTTGTGGTAAAATCTTCTGACCCCAATCGAATGTACAGAATGCTTCATCAATTCCCATTTGCGAGATAATCTTCATCTTTTTCAAGTCTTGTTGAGCAGCACATAGTTTATAGCGAGACCACTCGATAATATGTTCTGGAACATTTTTAAAGTCGTATTTGGCTTCCTCTTTAACATCCTTATCAACGACTTTTTCTAGTTTTTCTTGAATTTCGTCAAGCGTTCGAATAATATTTGTGCAATTGGGACAAGTGGTTGTATGTACATGGTTATACTTTGAGTATTGCTCAATACAGTTAGCATCACTAAGAGCAAACGTAGTGCAATGGGTAATACAGGTTGAATCAGGTGAGCAGTGACTACTGTGCCTTGTTTTTTTGGTATGTTTCGGCCATATCAATCTGTTTCTTAAGACGTCTTCGATCAGCCTGGGGAATAGGCAGTCCCTCCACTATATCTAAAAGTTACAAAAATGTTTTCTTAAGTGCAAGTCGTTATGTTTTTTTACGTACCCGAAAGTGCATGCCATGCTCTGACACCTTCAACAACAAATTCGTCCAGTCCTGTGACAGCCTGTTGCTGCGCAGGTTTAATACTGTTGAGAATATCGTATAATTTGCTGTTACCTAAACTTTTAAAATCTGTCTCGTCACAGTACTTCTTGTAGTCAATAAGGGCATGAGTTTTCTGCAGTTGAAGAATTTGTTTTGGTACTTCATATTTATCTCCATTGTCCATGCATAGGGTAGTGGGACTATATGTACCTGTGAAATAAGAAAAGATTAATAGAGGAAAAAAGACATACATCCATCAGCAAAAATTCCGCAGTTGCCTGAGACAAGAGTATTGCTCTCAACCAGCCAATTGACGAAGTGTTTGATCTTTTCAAGATCAACTCGCTGTCTAATAGATGGTTCATTATCTCTTTTCAAAAGATATTCCTGTTCCTCATGCATCCGATGAGCTGCTTTAATTGCGTGGTGTGAGCAAGCGAAAAGATCGATGACTTTTTCATAACCCCATGACCGTGGAAGCAGTAAAAGAAGTCGAACTTGCTCAATAAATGGCTCCTTTTGCTCTACATATAGGTCGTATATTTGCTTTATATTTTGTATCATCTCATTATTCAATGTTTCATCCAACTCTCGAATGTCCTTATTACTTTAGGCAAGATGAGCCATTTGTAACAATTCTTCACTTTGACCTGGTGCAAGTGTTCCTGTCATCTTCTCTACAATTCATAAACTTTTGTAGTTATAATAATGCACGGATTCCTAATCATCACGTACTTTGTATAACTCGCATTGTACTAGTGAGTTTTGAGGTGAGACGGCGAAGACCATTGCTTGAATGCTGATCCAAGTTTTTTCTCGCCTGCGACCGAATAGGACTCAAGTTAACCTGAGTCAGAATTCGATTCATAGAATCCCGTGAGTCATCCACGCTAAATTCAGACCCTTCTATTCTGCTAGTAAATGTTGTAATTTGACCTAATGACACATCATTAGGTATCACGGATACTGTTTTTCTATGCTTTGAACATCACCTAAAAGTCAATAAAATTCAATTAAAACGCTTTAGCAATTCCTGTAAAACTACCTTCCATCCAATAGAAATCCGTCAATTTTTAAGCAGATAGCCAGACTAGCTTGGCGGCAATCAGAAGCAGTGGAACGAATATTTGACTCATGATCAGGATGATGACATCTGGACTTAACAGAATGCCAATCAATACCAAATGAGCTTCGGTGTTTAGGACAAATGAACATTGAATCATAGACTACGACATCTTTTGAGCGTAGTCTATTAGCAATCAAATTTTTTTTGCGTTCATAATGACGTCATCTTCTTCTCTCTTTCGGATAACATTATTGCACTTAAGATATGATCGGATATCATTTTGGCTAAGCATCGCAAAAGAAACACATTGGGATGGCCAGTCAAAATAATCTAATCACAAATAAATTAATATCCACTTGCAGAATCGATACTACTCACGACGTGACGTGGATCCACAAGCCTCCACACTTGGATTACCTCAAAGACAACATTTATCATAGGTGGTGCTAAAAATGGATCGTTTAAATTATTATCACATCCCTTCTTGTTGTCGTCAAAATACATCTCATCTAAATGAGTGAAAGAGGCTGCATTATTTCGTTCACTAAAGTAAAACAGACCATTAGATGACATCTCTGCCTGTCGATGATGCTCTAGTTATTCATCAACTTCAGAAAAAATTGAAACGTATGGTGGAAACATATCTGCTGGATCAGTGTATACGCTTGACGAGTGGTCATAGTCAAGTAATGCGATTTTATTATGATCATCCATTTTGTTAAGACCAATCGGGTCATCATACGTCATGTCTTTATACGAGGGTGTGGGTGTGGGTGGGTGTGGGTGTGTGGATGTGGATGTGGGTGTGGGTGTGGGGTGTGGATCTCCTCTTCAATCTCACCCAC